AACTGTTATGGCACTTTGAATTGCACAAGAGTCCCTTGCTTTTACAAATGCATTTATTCATGAAACACTTCTTTTTGCAATGACAGCATTTATAACCTTGCCCTCCTCTTTTCGAATTAGCTGCAGTTGCTTCTCTCAGCGATATTTCTTGAAAAGAAATCTCATCTATGGAAAGTAACTTTTTTTACAAATTACGAACTGATTACATTATTATGTAATTATGAACTGATCTGTTAATGGTGTCTTTTATTCGGATATCACCGACGCCTTACCGACGACCTCTCTCATACTCTGCCACTCAACCTGACAAACCGATCCCCACCTCACAGGATCAAAAGAACAAAAATGCCATCCGATGACAAAGTGGGCAGTTTCCACCAAACCATTGCCGGAAAAAGAGGTACGACCGCGCCCTACCTCTGGCTACCCACAAAGTATTTGACAGGACAGGAGAGCTGAATAAAGTACAGTTGGCAACCCTATTAACAATCCGAGAGTACTGATGGGAGTCCCATATTGGGGACTTTATGTGAACTGGTAGTTAGACAACTGGAGGAAATGTGCTACCATCCTTTGACATCATCGTCGTCATCATCTTATTGTATTGGAGGTATGTCAACAGCATCTTGATCATTTGGTCTTGTGAATCACCCCTACACGATTTCCTGATGGCCATTTAAATAACAATCTTTATTGTCTAACACTATCTCTGGAGCAAAGTAGTAATAGGCAGGTACTGTACATTTTTTTGAATCTCTCTATTACTTCAAGTAACAGAGTTCTCACTATGGACATTTTGTAAACCGTTCTTCATTCCACCATGCTCACACGATCCTCCAAAGTACAAACCAGTCACCTTTGGGGCCTTAGTTCCACAGAACATTTCGCCCACCATTCTAACAATACCCTTAGACAAAAAGAGCTCCGAAGCATTTTCCGTATTGCCAAAATGTTTGGATATGGACACAAACTTATCATCACATTCATAAAGTATTTTGATGGGCCTACAGCAACAAGTGATGAGGACACCAAGCTCATTTGAACCATTATGCATAATCAGCAATTAAGTGCTATCTTCAAGGAGATCGGCTGGCAATCTGACATCTGAATTGCATACAAGAGATCTCTGGCATTCTTTTCATTACTTAGGAATGACAAGGACTCTCCCGATGAAAAGGCTTTGCCGGGAGTATACATGGTTCCATTGTACGACCATAGGCTCAATTGACAATATGAATACATAGGTGAACCTTGACCCAACTCAATTGACAATATGAACCTTTAGACTCCTCGAGATGAGGCTCAATGAACACTGGGACTCGATTACTGAAAGAACGGGAGTCATGGCCTTGGCAGCCTATGCATTGAACAAAGACGTGGAAGTTTATTTTGATAGAGTTCATCTTCTACATCAAAACGCATTACCATTGTGTCTAAAATATGTTGAGATTATTGAGACATATGGTGTCATCTGTAAAGGAATGACTATTGATAGCAGGGACACTGCTCTTATGTTGCATGCTCGGGGGCAGTATTCGAATGTCTTTAGCAACAATGTTGACTTTTATAATTACTTCGGTCTTAATACATTTATTGTTTTTATGCTATAAATAACAAATAATAACAAATAACAAAAATTTTTTTTATTTCTTCTGTTTTAATTTATAATATATTACCATGCTCCCCTGCACATGTGAACTTCTTACACAATGAACATCTTTAAATGTATGTTGTTGTTTGATTTTCTGTTCTACCAGTAGAACCCAAGTATGGTCTTTATAAAGGTGAAAACATTTGTTTCTTAATAATCCAGTTAAAAGAACAAAAACATTTATGGTTTTGAAGTGTTCTTATATTGGTTTGGGATAGTGTTTATGCAATGTAAAAATTAGCTCTTTCTCTTTTTTGTACGATGTAAATTGTGCCAAATCTAATGTGAGAGCCCACTCACTATAATCAGGATGGTTTAAGTTTAAGATAGGAGACTGAGAGATTGCAATCTTTCAGTTTCCTATGTCAGGAGCCTGACACCAGTTGGAATAGTTAATTTTGTATTGCATTCTAACTCATGATACAAAGAATATCTTATTTTAAATGTAGTCTGAGTGGTAAGGATGGTGTTTCTTGTTTGGCAATGAAAGTAGGCTTATACAACTATATATTTATTTACACAAAAATTATAAAGAATAGGTTACAATTCTATATAGAGAAAAAGATGGTATTATGGAAACCCTCCATTTCAAACTGATAATAAAGGCAAACTGTAGCAGATTGTGGCTGAACTGCACTAGGCAGACATTCAAAGCAAGGGAAAAACCTGTTTCACTTCAGTTCAACAGCTGTTCGTAATGAATCAGCATACAGTAGACCCCCCTATAGCATGGGTTCATATAACACGGATTCGATTAACATAGCGAAAAAATTGCGAACATGTTCGTATAACACGGTAAAACGTCATCGCCTACTTGTGTCGTGACACGAGTTGCGACCAATCCTGTTGGACAAAAACAAGCTTAAGCAATGGCGTCTTCGAACGGTGCACACTCAGTAAGTAATTCTACAATTTTTTGTTTATAGCATAGTTTATATGGATTATTTCTAAAAAATTATATGTGATTTGGAAATGTTGAGTCAAATTAATCTAGAATTGATTAATTTTATGGAAGAAAACCTTTCAAACTGGCCTAGCCGCTAAACTGCACACGTGCTGGGCTGTGATTGGCTCATGTATTTAAGTGACTCATACATTTGTTTTTCGAAATTCAAAAGTTTTGAATGGTAAGTGAATTTAATTATTTTTAAAATATAAATTGTGTAGTTATAGGTTCACTGGTGCATGTATTCTGTTCCAGAGACTTAGGGGTACATATTAATCTGTGTGATGATCACGTTTTTTACAGTTTTGTCTTGACAGACATAAGTTAATTCAAGATGGTGATGCATGACATACAGACCCATTGGTGCTTTTAATATCGAACCCAACTCCTCCGAACTCTCTTTTTGTAAGCAGACATTTGTCTGGAGCAATTTGTGAAAAAGACACTAGGTAGAAAGCCAATTCTTCCTGAGAATATCGAAAAAAAGCTGCTGGAACATATATTGTTGATGGAGGTCATATTTTTCTATTATAAAGCATTTTTTCAATAAAATACATTGGAGTAAATGATTTTATAATTATTTAACATTCTTTGTACTTTCTTATTTGTTTTTGGATACATTAAAGCANGAGACACTAGGTCAATTCTTTCTGAGAATATCGAAAAAGAGCTGCTGGTATATATATTGTTGATGGTGGTCATATTTTTTTATTATGAAAGTATTTTTTTCGATAAAATACATTGGAGTAAATGATTTTATAATTATTTAACATTCTTTGTACTTTCTTATTTGTTTTTGGATACATTAAAGCATTTTTTGAAAACATACAGTAGGGTTCCATATTACCACCCGGTTTTCCCTATGCCTACTTTCTGACTTTTTGTACAGAAGCCTTCAAAAACCATACTTATAGTTACACTAGTGAAAAAATCCAATTAGGAACATTTAGTTTAATAGTTACCAGTACTTTTCACACAAAAAATGTGGGTGTAGTTATGATACCTTGTTTACAATTCACTATAATGTAATTGGGGTTCCATAATACAGTAGAGTCTCGAAAACTTGGCTCAAATAACCCAGCAGTCCGGATAACTCGGCCACACCCTGGAAGGGCAAAAAATCCTTAGTTAATTAATTTTCATTATAAAGAGCTTTATGCCTCAAAGTATTTTTCTGAGGTCTGTCTTATCAGGTAAATTACTGTACACAGTATATTCATTAATTTTTATTTTCATGTAGTAAAGGTTCTATGCCTTCATAAAGGACGTACTTTTCCTTTGTTTAAGGGTATTTGGGCAATTTATTCTCTGTTGTATTCTCAAGTAAACAATACATAAAAGTACAGTGCAGTATTTTCTGAGGAAACACTCATACTTATTTTTTTTAACCCGATTCCCGATAACCTGGCATTTTCACAAACTCGGCCACCCTTCGGTCCACATTAGGCCGAGTTTTCGAGACTCTACTGTACCACCTTCTCCTCTATCAATTAAATGATGAAAATAACAAATGAATATCCAATTGACTATAAAAATAACGAAACAAATATATGCATATACTGTACTTAAATGATTCCTAGTTCAAATTACTAATAAGTTACAAGAGAGCTTACAGTAATTATTAGAGAGGTTGAGGCGCACGTTTTAAACGTGTAAACGTGTACGTGTGACGTTCGGCGCCGCTTTCCCGTAAGCCTAAAAGTTTGACAATGGTGTTTGGATAGTCGGTGGAATCACGCTCGACATTCCAAACGTCACTGTCAAACTTTTAGGCTTACGGGAAAGCGGCGCCGAACGTCACACATACACGTTTAAAACGTGCGCCTCAACCTCTCTATTATTGTTACCTGGGGAGGTAATTCGAGAACCTTTTCTTGGAAAGGGACAACTTCTCATATCATTCTTTTATGATGGGATTGATATACCAAAAATAAGGCAGGAACTATAGTCTATACGACTGAAAGCAGGGGTAAAAGTTGACCTCCATCTTTTATAACAAATCAGTGGACCAATGGGGTTTGTCCATGATTTGTTTCTGTCCCTCTAAAACTTTCATTTTAGGAGGAACTCCCAAACTTCCTCTGATTCATAGGAAGTTAGATGATGTATTCTGATAAACTTTAATATTTTATTTCAAATGAAAAAGAAGGAAATTTCTAAACATTTTAATATTTAAAATGTTTAGAAAATTAATTATGTCCCTTAATATAATCCCAGTTTTCGTCTTTCTGGTTATGCAGGAAAGAATTTGATGAAATCTATCATGATAATTATGAAAGACATTGCATTGTATCAATGTTTCCATTTATTTAGAATTCAGTACGTCTGTATTTTTTTAATACTGTAATAAATTTTCATAAATTAAATAATATAGCTTACAATCTTTTTTATATATATTTTTAGATATCCATTTGCTCTTGTTTTATTGCAAAGCACTGCCAGTAAGCATTCGTTAACTATGAGACGACGAGTGCGAACTCCCAGACTAGAGTTTGTTCGATATGATCCGCACGGTAAGTGAACATGTTAAATTTATATTTAATTAGTGTGTCGTCATATTATTTTAAAATTAATTTTTTAATACATTTTACAATACTAATAAAAAATTTATGTTTTTATCTATTGAATTGATCTGAAAATCTGTACTCATAATTTGTTGTAATCTCAAAATTCAATTTTGACTGACTTTCAACATCATGTATTGTGACCGATATATACATGTATGCAATAACTTCATTCATTATTATGATACTTAAGGTTATCTTAAGTCAAATTCTATAATTTACCTTAAAAGTGTGTCAGTCTACCAGTGTGGCCACAGTGGATTAAATTACTGAACACTGGTAGTTGGTTTGCTACATGGAGTTTTCCAGATTTTCTTCATGTTAGTAACACCTAAATAGGGACCAGTTTCTCATAAAAGTCCTCCCCCTTGACAGATTGTCCATATATTACGTTGCCATAATCAAATGAAATCAAAAACCTTAAAAGCTTGACTTTATAGACTTAAATGATTAACGGCAAGTTAACATGTTAAAACTACTCGACTGTGAATCATTGGATTGCATCTTAATGACATGGTTTCAGTTAAATTTTACAAAAATCTGGAAAAAGTAATTAATCTTACTGCAAATATATCTTTAATCAGTGATACACTATATATAATATACAGGTAACCCCCGTATAACACGGCACTTCTATAGCACGGATTCGCTCTAACACGGTTCGAGAATTGGTACCATCCCCGTATAACACGGTACTTTTATAGCACGGATTCACTCTGACACGGTTCGAGAATTGGGTAAAACCCACGTACAACATGAAATGTAATAAATTTTTACATACTTAAATAATAATAGTTCACGAAAATTATTATTTTCGTGAACTATTAGTACTTAAGTATGTAAATTTTCTCTTCTCGCCTTCTGTCGATACACGTGATCCTTCTCGAAACTTGTTTTAATGTTGCCAGATCGCGACGCTTCTGCTTCTGATGTTGCCGAATGTTTTTC